ACAAGTAGTTTTCAAGGAATAGAAGAGTTGGAAAAGATTCAGTCCACCACCACATGGGTAAAATTTTGGAAGTATATTACCACTTTTCACCCTTTTCTGACTAAACTTATAATTCAAAGTCCAAACTCCCCTCCAGCTATATGAGTTCTAGTCCAAACTTATTTTTGAACATTGACATGAGTTCTAGTACCACACCCTGGTAACTAAATTTTTGTTATGTGTATATATATACTTGATTTTAAAGACAATTTTAATTTGAAATTTTTACAGCATTCAATTTACCTACCTGTTTTGGTGTTGGTAATATGCAAAAGAAAATATGTTGTATCTGTTAATGAGCTTTGAGTTACTGATTTGCTTGAAGGGTATTTCAGAAGTTTTATGTTTATTCATATTGGATTCTATATTTTTCTGTGTGTCGGCTATTGTTTATGTGATATATGGATGATTTGGTTTTCTTTTCTGGAATACTGTTGCGGAGGAAAACTATTGCGGTAAGAATCGTGATGTCAAGCTATTGGTTAACTTGAATCTTAATTCTTTAAATTCACAATCGGACTTTGATTTATCCAAAGGAAGGGTTAAAGAAAGAAAGACCTTTTGTGCGATGTAACAACAACGCTAAGAGATTGGGGATCAGGGGTTGGTTATGCTTAGGGTAGGTATTTCACATCTTAAACATCTGTAGTACTCTACAGGAACCTTTTGTATGTTTGTATGTTTAACTTGCTAGATGTTTTCTATGGCTTAAGATATAGCATAAGTTTGGGTAAAGACCTAAGAATAGTTTCTAAGTTTGCTCGCAAAGATGTTGCATCTTCTGCCTACGTATCCTAACTAGGATACAACCAGAGCAACCGTAGTTTACCTCACAAGGGATAAATGGACACTTGATTATGATCAAAGTTCAAAGGGGAACAAACATAAAAATGCTTGCATAGAGTTTAACAAAACTCTCTGTTCTAAGTTGTACACTCAAAGGAATTAAGTTTTACAAAAGTCAAGAGGGGAGTAAGTAATCATGACAATAATTCTTATATAGAGTTAACAAACTCTATCTTAAAGTTCTAGTTGAAAGATCTTCCTAACAACGAGTAGGTCTTTAGACTTTAAGCAAAGTCTAATGGCTAATAGGTTCTAACTAAGTTAGGGTTCAAAGTGACTTAACAAAGTCAAATGGAGGGTAATGAGCTATCTATGACCCAAGGGTCAATAGAGAGACTTTCCTTTGGAATGTGGGGAAAGATGAGGCAACTGGATTAGAACTAACAAGTTCCATCACTTGGGGAATAACTTAACAATGTTAAAAAAACACATAAGCATTCATTCAAACATGATGAATATATGACAGAGCATGGTAGCAGCCAAGAAAGATATGCAAGCATGTAACAACATCAAGCAAAGGTTACAATCAAGTCAAATGGTTACAACCAAATATATCACAATATCTAAAAGGAACATGATAGAGGTTCTTACAAGACCAAACATATAAGGCAAGATCAACTTTAAACATCTTAACAAAGATGAAGAGTAATGAGGTAACAACCATCAAGACAAACAACATAACATGTAATCTAAATAAGTTTAAATTCAAAAAAGTTACAACTTGAGGCAAACATGTTATAGGGATCAAAGGATGTCAAATGTAACAACGTAAGACCAACAATCATGCATTGATAACAATCAAACAAGTGAGAACACAAGAAGTGTTACAACAATTCAAGTATAAGTTCAAGGTTTCATGGAAAAAGCAAACAAATTTTATGGTCATAATCAAGACAAAGCAAACCCTAGCATGTTATGGTTCTAACAAGACACATAAACAAGTAGAAAAGACATGGTGAACACACTCAAGAGGTTACAACATCAAGAGGTATAGTATGGTTTGCAAACAAAGGTCAAAGTATGGTTTTCAATAGATTCATTCACAAAATCAAGGATTAAACATGGTAAGACATTGAACCAAGCAAATTTGATCATCCAAGCATGTTAACAAACACATATGAGTCAAGAATAACCAATCTTACAAGATACATTAAATTTTAGTTGAGAAAAGTTTCAAAACAATAAAGTAAAAACCCTAAAAAACAACATGATTTCCAAGTGAGTCAAAGTCTTTCTAGGATATTAATCCTTGAATTCTTTACTTACTATTTGAAAATAGACACGATGAAGAACAATTTGCAAAGAGAATGGTGCAAAAATATTGAAAAATGAACAAGTTATGATGAAATTATGTTGGTGAAGAAATCATGAGGAAAAGTGGTAAAAAAATATAGAAATGTCCTCCACAAGGGTTGAACCCATGCCCTATGGTTCACATGTGTAAAACATTACCAAACCAACTATGAGGCTTATGTGGTGAAACAATAGAAGAGAAACAAAATAATGTTAAAACCTTGAAAATGGTAAAAATCGAAAAGAGTTGTCCTTGGCAAGGATCAAATTCGCGTGGGCAAGGCAAAGAGAGGATAATGCGTGCAAGTTTTAACCACTGAGGTGGTGATACATCCAATGTATCAAACCACCCCATAAAAAAATAAACCTCAAATTAACGGATTTCTGGGCAAAAACCTGGATATCATGTACAAAGTGTTCAAAAGCATATAAAACTCATACTTAAACCAGAACAACAAATGACCTATAAAAATGCAATTGTAGCATGTTGTCAAGCAAAGAAGTTCACAACAGTTACAATAGGTAATAGTTCAGCAATAAAATATGATTCATACAACTTAAATGGCATATAAGTGAGGTTCTTTGGTCACTCCAACATTAGTTCAAACAGAATTATGACATTTCACATGAAAGTAAAAACTTCAAGCCATTTCAATATGCATAAACATAATGGTTCACAAACACATGAATTTCGCATCATACATGTGCAATATGACCTATAAATGGACTTGAGCACAAGCATAGCACTGATCCTAAGAAGAATCACAAAATGGCTCATAGAATGAAAACAAAAACCACAATATCAAGTACCTAATCTCATGACAGTTTACAAACTTATGAGAACAACTATTTACCTAAGTTCAAACATGATTTGCAAGAAATTCTAAGTATGTTCAGCTAATGTACATCAAGGATAAGCATGGTGCATAAAAATTATAGTGGACAAAAGTGACTTACCTCTTGAAGACCTCTTAGCAAGCTCTTTATGCAAAGCTTCTAGTTGAGTATAAACCCTGTTGGGACGAATCGAACAATCGGAAACTTCCGAATCGACTGTTGGTATTTTGGGTTCCCTGAGGCCTTGAAACTTCTTGAGAGGACTTCAATAAGTCATATAAACTTTATGGACCAAGATTCCAACATTGGAATGTCATTTAAATCAAAAGTCAAACTACAATTGACTTTTCTAATCAAAAACCCTAATCGGGGATCCTGGACTGTACTTCTCTTCTTCCCTGGGTGATAACCTCGAATTAGATTCATACTTGATCCAATATAGTACCCTTGATGATATAGAGAGTTTCTACATAGAGATTCAATCCAAGACCTTGACTGATCAAACCATAGAAACCACGATTCCTGACTATGTGGAACCCTAATTCATCTGCATCTTAACAAAGGCAAACTTGAAAGAGGTTAAGATTAGATAAACAATGATGATTCTCCTAAAATGATGATGGAATCTAGGGGTTAAAATTTGGGGTACAACAGAAACGAAACCGAAAACCAAAAAAAAACATGAACCTGCGACCAAAACCGTGCGAATCGAATTTGAAGGAGAGAGAGTTTGAGTGAAAATCATGAACAAAACCTGAGATCCATGCGACAAACAGAACGAGGTTGAGGCAGAAACTTTTTTGAGAATGGAAGAAAGAAGGTCGCGCTTCCATGGCAGCCACGGTTGAGGGTTTTGTGTTTTCTTCGTTTTATAGTACCTTGTTTTATGTAGTTGTCACAGATTGTTCCCTTTTAAAAAAGAGTAGATGGTGAAGCATTTCTATTTAGTAGACATGGTGTTTGGTTGATGGGTTTGGCCCATGTGTTGTTTTCACCCTTTTTTGTTTTGAACACAACTGTGTTCTCTTCTTAGGGTGATGGCCTCATGGCCCATATAATCCCTATTTACACTCTTCACCACCCTAATCTATCAGCACCCCCTTCCATTTTTTTTTTTGAATTTTGATTTGTTTTACTCTTTATTATTGGTTTTTTGTGTGTGTTTAATATTAAGTTTTTAATGATCTTTGCTAATACTTCACTAAATATCTTGTTAAATTTGATCTTTCTTGATTTATTCTTTTCATTTCTACTTTAATTTTCATTTTCTCTTTTCGTTCTGATTCCATCTTCAATTCTTGGTCGATGAAAATCTAAGAATTGTTAATTGTCGATTTATCAATAAAAATCCATGGTTAAGATTAGAGCGCTTTCTTTTCAATTTTATTTCTCTTTTCTTCCAGATTCTCATTATTGATTTTCAATTTCATTTTCGATCGATGAAGTCTTTCTATTCATAAAAGTTGATTTATTGATGTTGTTAATCTTCATCGTTTCAAATCTGTAGTGAATGATCATCGAGATCATTTTTTATACTTTGAAATCGTGATAGGTTGGTTACCTTTGATTAATCGATGCAGATTTATATATATATATATATATATATATATATATATATATATATATATATATATATATATATATATATATATATATATATATATATATATATATATATATATATATATATATTAAATGCAATTTATTTATTTGCATTTACTTAAATATACCTGTTAAATTTAAACCCGTACACTTCGGGGGTGTATGGACTAAGTTCAGCTTTAAAAATAAAATATTGACTAACATTTGTTAAATTATTATATATGTCAAAATAAAAAATATAATATGCTAAAGATAACTTAATTATTACATGTCAATTTAAAATTTGTTTTATTTTGTGTTGAAATGTTCTGCCTTATTTGTTGCACATTGTAGCAGTGAAAAGAGTGATAGTGGGAGAGTCTCTCCATGCATTCACCAACCTAATGATGACAAAAATGAGAAGAGGAGGCGATGTTCCACCGTCCCCCACGAAAGTCGCCGAACCATTTCTCTTCTCTCCGAACAGAAACATCTACACCATCATCAACCTTTGCAAACAACAAGGAAACAATTCTAGGATCATCGACATTCCCCAAAACATCCCTTTCGTTTGCGAAATCTATACAGACACTAAAACAATGAAAGACGCTTTCTACACCAGAGCCTGTTACCACACTTATTGCTCTAACTGTGTTGTAATGTACATTGATTCAAATCTGCAAAACAACATCGCCAGCATCAGTTGTCCCTTTATTGGATGCAGTGGTTTGCTGGAAGCTGATAGTTGTCGTAGGATTCTTCCTGCGGAGATTTTCGACAGGTGGGGGAAGGCCTCTTGCGAGGCGTTGTTTGATGTTTCGTTGAAAGTGTATTGTCCCTTTGCAGACTGTTCGGCTCTTATGATCAAAGGCAGAAAGGAAGATGTTTTTGGAAGATCGAAATGTCCGTATTGTAAGAGGATGTTGTGTGCAGAATGTAAGGTTTCATGGCATGAAGGAATGGAATGCATTGAGTTCGAGAAACTGAACGCGGATGAGAAAGAGACCGAAGATGTTATGTTGATGTGCCTTGCCAAGGATAAGGAGTGGAGGAGATGTCCTAGTTGCAGGTTTTATGTTGCCAGATCTCAGGTTTGCGACCAAATGATATGCAGGTTGCTTTTCTTTTTAATCATCTATTAGTATTCTCAGAGAACATGTTAGCATTAACTTCAAAATATATAGTTGAGATGTTTAAAGTAAGATTTTAGAATAAAATTTAGATTTAGGCTTCTAAAATTTTAATATAAGTAAATTTGAGATGCGGATCCCTCAAACTCAAAGATTAATCATTCAAACTAAGATATTACCAAGATGCATGCCACCATTCTTATTTGGAAATTATAAATTAAAATATATTTTGAAATTGCAGGTGTAAATGTAGATTTTGTTACAAATGTGGAGATGCTTTCAACTTGGAAGACCCGTGTAGTTGTTTTAAGCCAACCGTTCCCATCCCCGTTCATAGGGTTCAACAACCGAAAAGGCCTAATATATTTTTTATCATTTTATTTATTGTGCTTAGTATTAATCTCACTCGTTGTTCTTAAATTCACTTTTACCTTTTAATCTCGCAGTGTTTTTTAATAAAAAATTAATATATTTATAGATAAGTTTTGTTTGGATACTAGTATCTCTAATCAAAGTTAATATAAAATTGTAATTTATTTTTAATTAATTTAACAGGAATAATATTGAAAGATATTTTTCTAGATATGTTTCCAATAACGTGCTGAGTTAATTGGTTGATATACATTGGATAAGTCACATTTGGATAATCATTGTTATTATAGGGGCCTAACACCAGAGATATTAATATAATTTAGAATTATTTAACACTTAAAAAGGGCATATGATGAAGACAATGGGTCAAAATCAAACATGGGTGAAGGTTCGTAGAACAAAACAAAATCAGCACAAAGTAATTAGAAGATCAATATGGGTGGCAAGAGAAATGTTAAACGGTGGTTAAGGAGGAGGGGATAATCTCTTCTTTCTTTTTCACGGAGTTTTCGGAGAGCTATGAAGGAAGAGAAATGTTTGAGGTATTCAAGGATTATGAACTGGTGGTTGAAGTAGTAATCCTACCCAAGCGTGATAAGTGGGGTAGCGTCGCACCTCGAAAAATCATCGAAAATACGACCCTCGCGTGAAAGGCGAGAAAAATAGTTCGATAGAGTCGCCACCGAACTTTATTTATTCCAAAATAGGAAAAGGAAAATATCGAAGAAAACCTTTAAGGAGATAAGAATATGGTCGTTGCAACCATATTTTGGGTTTGAGAGTCGGTCACATAAGAGGAAGGTATTAGCACCCCCTACGTCCGTTGTACTCAACGGGAACCTCTTAGTTCGATTTGTGATGAACGTTAGCTAAGTTTGTTTGTTGTCTTCTCAATGATAAATGCGAAAAGGTACGATAAAAGGATATCGATGCTAAGGGAAATGAGAGGTTTTCGATAGGGTGCTCGCCAAGGATTGGGGCCCTTGTACCTACGTATGCTCATTCGGACGAGAATGAGGAATCAGAGCTTCCGTAGTTCGACTACGGGAAAAGATAGTGGGTAGACGCGGAATGATGGAAAGAGATGGAAGTGAGCTCGCCAAGATCATCGCAATTCTATGCCTATGTATTCTCATTCGAACGAGAATGAGAAATCAGAGCGCTCGTAGTTCGACTACGGAAAAGGTTTGGATAGGGGAAAATAGAAGATGGATAAAAGCGTGAAAAGGTGGAAAAAGAAAAAGTGTGCTCGCCAAGATCATCGCAATCTGATAACGCGAAATTGTATATATAAAAAGAAATGTGTTTTAACTAATGTTTGACCGGTTTCACTCCGAATTCGGGGCATTCCATGCTATTTGTCTAAGTATTATGCAGGTATTCGAAGAACATGTCCAAGCAAAGCAATATGAAGAAAAGGAGCAAAAACAGGTGAAAAACAGATAAAAAAACCAAGAGAAAAATAGCAGAAACGAGTTTTACTGATGTGACGACCGTCACATGGCCGTTACGCTCGTCATGCGTGTGACGACCGTCACACCTCCATGACGACCGTCATGCACCGAGAACGTGCAGAATGAAGTCACGTGCTAAAATTCCCCCTCAAAGACCAAAAGTGTGGCCACTAACTCCTACTTTTCTGCCTCAAACCCACTTCTTGAAGGAATAACCGTTAGATACTCCCTCTCTATAAAAGGAAGAGGTTGGGACCTGAAAAAGGGGGGCCGCATTCAAGAACGAAGTGCTGCCAATTTATCTTCAGAGCAACCTTACCATTTTCATATTCTTATTTGTTTCTCTTTTCCTTCTCTGTATTCTTTGGTATTTTGTAATTCCCATTTTCCTTGTACGATCAATTGGCACAAAGACCAGAATCCTGCCAACATTGTGGAGGATCTGCCCAAAAGCCAATTGGAATATTTCCAGGTTTTCATTTTAATCGTAATTGCAATTTTCATTATGATGTATGGTCTTAATTACTGCTTTTATTTATGTATTACCATTTCTTTTTCCATGTCTAGCTAAATTACCGTAATCGATATGTAATAATAATTCAGACGGAATTTGATAATAATTGGCGTAATCTTTCTCTTTTCAAAACTCAGTTATGGTTTTAGTTTTTAATCAAAATTCTAAATAAACCTTTGTCACGACAGTGAGAAGCTATTTACGGTGGTTTTGCCACGACAGTGGGAAACCATATTAAGGTACGAACTAACAAGCGACAGCTGCGGCTAAGACCAGATAGTAAAAACTAGGCATTTGATTTAAAAACAGCGGAAGCGCTTTAAAAGGGATTAGAACTTAGAGATTTTCAAAAGGTAACTTTAACCCCGAACGGGATAGCGACAGCATACGTTCCACCTTAGAGTTGCGACTAGCGTCAACAACCATCGTGAGACAAAAGTATTTAGATCACTATTTTCTTCTTAAACTGAGTTTGAAAACACTTAATACGCCAATAAATTGTTAAATCCCCGAAGAACAAAATTATTGCATATCGATTCATAAATTCATATCTTAAGTAAAAGCTTTAGTTCCCTTTAGTTTACGCATTTATTCTGCCATTATTCAACTTGAAACCAAACCGACCTAGCTAAACACCGTAACACCCGATAATACTAGATTGATTACGAGTCCCTGTGGGATCGATATCTATTATTACTACGCGATAGGCTGTGCACTTGCAGTTAGATTTGTTAGACATAGAAAGTCGCGATCAAGTTTTTGGCGCCGTTGCCGGGGACCCGTTTAGTCAATAGTGTAATCCTTTGTTACACAGTATAGACTAGGTTAACAATTGTCTCTCCCTCTACTCGTTCTTCGATTGTATGCCAAGTACTCGCTCACAAGGCGAAATCTTACAACCTACAATCGCCGAACTAGAGCGCTTCTTACATCTAAGAAGGCGCATCATTGAATATCAATGTAGACACAACATTCCTGATCTTCTAGCTCATCCTCCTGTTGAAGAAGCAAAGATGGCTGAAGGACCTCAGAACAAACCGCTGAAGGCATACGCTACACCCTCTCAGATGGAGCCTAGAAGTAGCATAGCTGCCCCAGCTATCAATCGAACCGATTTCGAACTAAAACCGTCATTGTTGTCAGCTGTACAACAAAATCAATTCTCAGGAAATGCAACTGAGGATCCAAATGAACACTTAACGAAGTTTGTACAATACGCAGACACAGTGAAAGCAAATGGAGTAACTCCAGACGCAATAAGACTTCGTCTTTTCCCTTTCTCTCTTAGAGATAGAGTGTGGACATGGTTACAATCCTTACCATCCAACTCCATTACAACGTGGGAACAGTTGAAGAACGTTTTCTTAGCGAGATACTTCCCACCAAGAAAAACCGCTATGCTTAGAGCCCAAATCAACAGATTTCGACAAAAAAGACACTGAATCTCTCTACGAAGCATGGGAAAGGTTCAAAGATATGATGAGAACATGTTCTCACCACGGTTTAGAAGACTGGGTGACGATCCATACTTTCTACAATGGGCTTCTATACAATACCAGATTAACGGTAGACGCCGCCGCGGGCGGTGCACTTATGGATAAGCCATACGACGAAGCCTATCAACTAATCAAAAACATGTCTCAGAACCACTGCCAATGGGGAGGTGAACGCATTCCAGCAGAGAAACCCGCAGCGAAAGGCGGGATGTACGAGATCAACAGCCTTGAAAAGTTCAACGCTAAAGTGGATGCTCTAGCACAGAAAATCGACAGTCTGACCGTTAACCCCACTGCAACCGTCGCTGCTGTAACTCCAAACTGCGAGTTATGCGGAATCGCCACTCATAATGCACCCGAGTTCCCATTGCTGGCCGGAATTCCACCAGACCAAGTAAACTATGCTCAAGGAAATCCTTACGCAAATACTTACAACCCAGGATGGAGGAACCACCCAAACTTTTCCTACAAGAACGATAATGCCTTGCAAGCACCAGGTGCTCCGCCAGGATATCAGAAACCAGCTGCTGCCCAGACTGCCCCTAGGAAATCAAACCTCGAGTTGATGATGGAAAAATTCATAGCTACTCAAGCTCAAACAAACAAAGAATTCCTAAATCAAAACATACACACTAGCGAGCAAATTAAACAGCTGATCGGAAAAGTAGACGCTTTAGCCACCCACAACAAAATGCTCGAAACGCAGATATCACAAGTCGCTCAACAACAAGCCTCTGCAGCTGCCCCAGCTGGAACATTTCCAGGACAGCCCGAACCTAATCCGAAAGGTCACACAAATGCTGTTATATTGAGAAGTGGAAAAGAATTGGAAGGCCCAACAGATCCTAGGAACGAAGATTTAGTAATGCAACAGAAATCTGATAAACCAACCGAAAAGGAGTCTGAAATAGAAAAGAAGGAATGTGACGAGCAGAAGGTCGCCAAAGATGAAAACTCATATGTGCCTCCAGCGCCATATAAACCACATATTCCTTATCCTCAAGGATTAATAAAGTCCAAAACTTCAGGACAATTTAAGAAATTTGTTGAACTTCTAAAACAACTAAACATCACTATTCCTTTCACAGAAGAGATAACTCAAATGCCGTCATACGCTAAGTTTCTTAAAGAAATCTTGTCTAATAAAAGGAAAATAGAGGATAACGAGATAGTGACACTTACTGCCGAATGTAGCGCAATCATTCAAAACCACATGCCTCCTAAACTAAAAGACCCAGGTAGTTTCTCCATACCCTGCGTCATAGGAAAGTTCGTAATAGACAAAGCTCTATGCGATCTAGGAGCCAGTATAAGCGTCATGCCTTTATCTATATGCAAAAAGCTGAATATGGGAGAACTAAGACCAACTAAAATGTTCGTACAATTGGCTGACCGATCAGTCAAATACCCCGTCGGTATACTGGAAAATGTTCCAGTATGCATAGGACAATTCTACATCCCAACCGACTTCATAATCATGGACATCAAAGAGGACTCTGTTACCCCAATTATCCTAGGAAGACCGTTCCTAGCTACAGCCGGAGCTATTATAGACGTAAAGAAAGGACGGCTAACATTCGAAG